CAACACATGCTCAACATTGCCGGAAAAGAGAAGAGAAGACTCCGTCGTCCCCTTAAAACTGTTGTTGTACTCGTTCCGACGCCTTCCTCTCCTGTGGAGGGACACGCCCGACCGTAATCCTTGCGGTGTCGATGTGCCATCTCTTCATTCGTGGGTCGGCGAAATGGGGGGATAGCAAAGGGGGTGTTTGAGAATCAGCTCACGTAGCTGATTTTCCTGGCGCCTCCCGGCGCCGGAGGCGGCTATGTATCGAGGAATGGGCCCCTCGGTGAGGCCGAAACCAGCTGCATGCAGCAAATTTTGTAACCCCCCCTTTCCCAATCCCCCCCTTTCGTCCGGCCCGATTCATTGCCTCAGCGGTCCCCGCCGACCGTCGGCCGCCGACCGGCAGCCACCCCCACTCGGCGGCCAGCGGGGCGCTCGCGAGGGAGGCCGGGGCGCGGACGGCCCGGGCCCGGCGGAGCCCAGGGAACAGCTGCGGCGCCACCGCCGCCGTGAGTCGTCGTGGCCGCCATGGGCGCGGTGGGTATGCAACAGATGGTGGACGTTTTCGTATTCGGCGTTTCGGCCTTGGGCGGAAGGGGAGGGGGAGGGGGGGGGGTCTGGCTCCGGACCTCTGCTCGAGGCCACTGTTTGCAGCAATGCGTCCGATGGCAGGGGGAGAGACTCCACCTGCTCGAGGCGGGCGCCCAAAGCAGACAAGATCTACTCCGGGGGGGGGGGGAGGGCGCGAGGGTCCGCACCGTTCGGCAAAACGAGGAATAACAAAAACGATCATTTATGTTTGTACAGCTACGGGGAGGGGCCAGCCACAAGAGGGGGTCGGGCGGAGGCCTCCGACAGGAGTGCCGAATGAGAGAGCGAAACTTTTCACACCAGTGGGCGGGCCTCGCCCGATGATCTTGCAAACACGAATCTCGAGAGATGCCAGGCGTGCTCCGACTCGGGCCGTTGCTCGAGTAGGCCCGCAATCTCCATCACGGGGCACGCCCAGAACTAAAGTTAATCGTGATTACCCTTCTCAAGGGCAGGGGGGGCGGGACCGAAAAAGCTATGAGCACACACAAAGATAAGGAGAGATAGACGGCCCACGACCCCGCACACTGCGACATAAAAGATTGTTTGAAAACAGTTATTTATGTTTGTACAGCTACGGGGAGGGGCCAGCCACAAGAGGGGGTCGGGCGGAGGCCTCCGACAGGAGTGCCGAATGAGAGAGCGAAACTTTTCACACCAGTGGGCGGGCCTCGCCCGATGATCTTGCAAACGCGAATCTCGAGAGATGCCAGGCGTGCTCCGACTCGGGCCGTTGCTCGAGTAGGCCCGCAATCTCATCACGGGGCACGCCCAGAACTAAAGTTAATCGTGATTACCCGTCCACGCCGCAACGCAAGCATCTGGCCCAATGGGCCCTCAGCCTGCTTCCAAAATCAGCAAACCAATAGGGAGGGAGGGAGGGAAACAAGGATACAACTTAAAAGACCCAGACTTACCCCCTTATGGCTAGCCCACAAGTTCCCCCCATTACTGACTGTGAGAGCGAGGCGAAGGAAAGAGGCAAGAGTGGCGCCAACGCTTAGGTCCTGCGTCGGGCGCGTGCACGATGCGCGCTGGACGGCTTGCCGAATGGCTCAGACCTGCTCACTTGGCCCTCGTCAAAAACCTGCACCTCATCGTCTCCGACCCTCGCGAGCTTCTCCACCAGTAGCTTCGCCAGCGGGGTGTCGGACTCGGGTGAGTTCATGATTGCCTCCTTCAGCTGCTTGGCCGGCTGACGCCAAAAGCTGCGGCCCGTCTCCATCGTCGTCGATGGCAATTGTGAACGGCGTCTGATGAGCGTGTGGACCTTGGTGTAGCGGCTCAGAGCTGATGGGGTCTTCCAACGCCCACGTCTGCGGGCCTCCTCCAGTCCTCCGCCCGCCGCGACAAAGTCGGCCGCCGCGGCGTGGCGGATGCCATGCGGAGGTCCCATGTGCTCCAAACCCAGCTCGCCCAGCAGCTTGGCCCACGAACGCCTGAAACTGCCCTGGCTCACGGGCAGCACGAGCTCTTGGTCCGAGATGACCGAGACAAGAACCTCCATGATGGCCTTGGCAACCTTCATCTTGAGCTCGACACCCTGGTCGGAACCGGTCTTCACTTTCTCGCCGCGCTCTCGCCTTCCAAGGAGTAGTGCGACCCGCCCGTCCTTGTCGATGCTCACGTCGTTCTTCCGCAGCTGGCACCAGTCTTGCTCCCTCAACCATCCGTCAAGCTGCACGAGCGCGGCCGCGCCCTCAATGATCATGCCGCGCTCGAAGAACGCCTTGATGATGGTCCCCATCGCCTCCATCGGGATAGGCTCGCCCTCCCCGCCGAAGCCCATACGCTCCCAGCTCTTGAGTGCGCGAGCTGCGACTGGGAGGAAGTTCCTGTGGTCCTCGAAGATGTGCATGAACCCGTTGAAAAGGTAGCTCGCTTTCATGAAGCTGGCCTGCTGCACATAGCACATGTCGGCGATGTAGTCCGCCAACGCCCTGTCGCGCTCCGCCACCGTGCTGAACGGCTGGCCGGAGCGCTTCACCTCCACCAAGAAATCCTTGACCGCTCGCTGGTACTGGATGTTGGTGTTGTCGTCGACAGCGTGGATCACCAGCCGGTTGTTGTACCTCAGCGGGCCCTCGGCGGCCCTCTCCCAGGCCAAGGCTCCTCTCTGCTTGAGCGGGGGTGGCTTCGGCCCCCGCGGGGCCGCCGCCGCCCGCTGCGTCGAGACGAAGAGGATCACCAATGGGAGTGTCCAGCGGTTCCTCGCCGTCGCAGCCCCCGAAGCCAGTGGAGCAGCCGCTTGGGTGTGTACCTCGTGCTGTGGCCCGCCTTCGTCTCCTCCGCCGCTCCCAGGTCGACCTGTCGAGACGGTCCGTCGGCGACGTTGACCTCGGAGGGTACCCAACGATAATATGGACGCAGTCGGCGCACCAGCTGTACAACTCCCGCCATTCTCGCCAGATGTAGTAGAGCCCGTGCCGAGCTTCTCCCCTTGGTCAGCACCCCGAGGCTCACCAAAGAGTCCGTCATGATGAGTACTCGAGATCTCCAGGCCCTCGAAGTCCTCGACAGGTGTCGTAGCAGCCCCACTATCGTCCTCAGCTCCAACACATTGTTGTGCTCCTCCCTCTGCCAGCGCCCCTGGAACAAGACCCTCCACCTCTGCTCGTCGAGCCAGCTCTCCTGTGGTGGAAGATGTTGCGCTCGGGCCCTCACGACTCGAGGCAGTCCATGACGCAGCCTCACCTGCGCACCGTCCGGGACCCGATCCCAAGAGGGCTCGACGCTCCTCACCACCTGAGCGTAGGTCTCGCAGAAGAGGACGGGGCACGGGCAGGCGATCTTCGTCCACTTGGTACCGCCCGGGCCGCTGCCCCGCAACTCGCGATGCACCAGCCCTGTCCTCGAGCAGCGTCCCCGCGTGCCCTGACATCGACGCTCCATCACACAGAGGGCCCTGCAGTTGGTGACCAGGGTGGTCGGCTTCTTCCACTCCTCCCCGTACTGGCAGTAGTCCAGGCTGATCCTGATGACCTCGGACCTCGCGAGCAGCTCGAGCATGGGCGGGAAGACCCACATCAGGCTGGACTCGGGGTTCTCGATCACGAAGTAGATCCCTTCCCTGATGCAGAAGAGCGCCGCCTGCACCGCCAGCGTACACAGCGTAGATCCCTCCTGCGCCTTCTCCGCGTCGCCTGGACTCAGACCTGGCAGGCCCCAGGGACAGTCGAGCGATCTCAGGGGAGGTCGCCTCGCCCGCGAGAAGGTAGAACAGGGAGGGGCCATGTGTATCCACCACCACCACCGCCATCGTAGCCGTCGGAAGAGACGTTCGAGGTTGGAAACATTGAGGAGATCGTACTCGCGGCCACGTGCCACATCCCATGCCTCTCCCCACGAGAGAGTCAGACCGAGGATCGCCTGTAGGAGCCTCTCGCTGCCCGCGAACAGCTCCAGAAAGCCCGGTCTCCCCATCTCTGGTGACATGGGCGCGTCGTCCTCGTCGCCCTCGGCCTCGACCTCCTGCTCCACCTCCGTGTAGGCTCGCGCCGCCTGAATCGTCCATGACTGCAGCGACCCCCGACTGAGCTCTGTCCTGATTTCCTCCACATCGGCCTTCGTCACGACCGCTGCGAAACCCTCCTCCGACGCATCCGTCATGTAGACCCTCTCCAGCCAGGGGGCCTCCAGGTCCGCCTCCATGAAGACGTGCAGCGCCGAGAGCGCCTGCAGCTTGCTCAGTACCTGGACGTCCAGCTTCTGCCATCTCATCGCATCCTCCTCGCAGAACCCGTGCATCCAGCGGTAGGCGGCGTCCAAGATGCAGAAGGCCGCCCTGTTGGTCATGATCGCCCACGTCCACAGGCCCAGCAAGCTGCTGAGGGCAGCCGGGGGTGCACGACCCATGATGACCACCGCTTCGGTCGCCAGCACCATGTCTCTCATCTTGTCCTGGACGACGCGTAGCCTGTATGGCCTTGGGCCAATGGCTAGCCCAAGACCCCTCGTCAGGCCCTCCCCCCAGTCCTCCTTGTGCACTGGGAGGCCCTGACCCACGAGGTGGGCCTTCACCTTCTCCCTGTCCAGCTCCAGCTCCTCCCCGTTCTCCGAACATAGCTTCAGCCCGATGTAGTCGTCGATGTACAGCAATAGCATCAGCTGCACCTTCTCGAAGGACGGGGTCGGCCTCCCATATGTGATCTGCCCGAGGTTGATGTCGGGCAAACTCTCCAGGGCGTCCGACAGGCAGCTGTGGGCCAAGAAGACGGCCCAGCTGGACCCCATGACGGGGGACATGGCTCCAAGTCCAATATCGTCGGGCTCGGGCTTCGGTATAGAGATCCCCTGCTTGCATGCGTGGTCGTAGATCTGCTGAGGGGTCACCTCTGGCAGCACAAAGTACTCCGCCAAGGAAGCCAGCCATCGTAGCCGGTAGAACCAGTCGGGAATATCGCCCTGGAAGGAGTATAGCCGTCGCCCATGTAGGATTGACTCGTCCAGCTCCAACAGCGCCAGGGATGCGGGGGGCCCCAGGGGGACCCACGGCGGATCCTGGAACAGGAGATTGACCCGCCTGCAGTCCCAGACCAGGCGACTCTTCTCCACCCCCGTCCCCTGCTCGTTCAGGTTCTTGACCACGGTGAACACGCCAACCCTCTCGCGCATGTTCTTCACGTAGCCTATCATCCCCGAGCGAAGCATTCGGAGGGCGAGCTCGAGTCGATTGCTGCCCCGTCTCCAGCCCGGGTCGGTGTAGCTGCGCGTGTTCTCGTAGCGGTCCCAGTCGACCTGACCCACTTCCTTGATCATCTCGCTGCCCACATTGCTGAGGTAAGCCCCCGCCGTCTCCGAAAGCCTCTCGATGTTCAGGCCCTTCGTGTTCGGCGGCGGCACCGAGACCTCCGAGGCCACCAGCGGGCACATGTCCCCCTTGCTCAGGTGCTTCCTCGTCGTCCTCGATCTCGTCCTTGTCCGTGTACTCTGATAGTCCAGCGCTCCTTCCCCCCCCAGGCGGCTGATCACCGCCCTGCCGTCGTTGATGGTACCCCAGCACTCGGATTGAGCGTGCCTGTCCCAAAGATCGTTGACGATGGCCGTCTGTAATGGGGTCGCAGTCCTCCACTCCCGCCAATCCCTCCGCCGCCTCAAGATCAGGGTCTCCTGACCCAGATGCCCCGCCGCCAGACCCCGAATGGCCGCCGATGCCCTCTGGACTCGAGCGAGTGTCAGCTGCAGCTGCCTCTCGTCCAAGCCCTGGGAAAAAAGGCCGGGCAGAAAGCGGGTACGGCAGGATGGGAAGCGTTCGCAGCGGGTCCCGCTCCCTCTCGTCCACCATCATAAGGGACAAGGTCCACCAGGTGACCTGCACCCCGACGCGAGAAAAAGGTGTCGTTGAAGTAGAGGTCGGACTCGGAGACACCGTCGTCCGACCTGAAGAAGTTGGCCGCGCCCGAGAAGCCGTACAGCCAGGGGGGCGCGACCAGGCACCAGCCCGCTACCTCGAAGGCCCGCGAGCTCCCAGGTGTCTGCAGGGCGCCAAGGCACCACAACAGCACCCGAATCCACCTCGAGTGTGGCCTTACGCTTTGAGCGTGCACTTGGCCAGGACTTGCCACGGGAGCCCCGGCCGCAACCTATTCGTGATCAGCACCCACCGCGCCGCTGTCCTTGGCGCCCTGCAGGTGCTTCGCGATGGTTGCCCTCCTCTTCAGCTTCTCCGTCACCTCGTCGTCGGCCTTCAGGTTCGCCAGCTCCGCGTCGCCGTCCACCTTGAGGTACTCGTCGGCCAAGGCCCAGTCGACCTTGGAGCGCCACTTGCTCCCGCTCTGCTGCCCCTTCGGACGCTGCCAGTCACTGAGGCACTTCACATTCTCGTAGGCCTTCCAGATCGCGTAGAGGCGGAGGCAAGTGAGCTCCGCCGCGGGGCTGTTGATGAGCTGGTCGTAGGCGCCCTCCGCCATCATGCGGTCCAGCACCATGGCCAACATCATCACCTCCGAGCTGATGCTCGCCCGCTGCAGCTCCTTCGACCTCAACCACTCGCCCAGCTCGATCTTGGCCGTGCGCCCCGAACGGTACAGCTTGTGCAGCACCGTCGGCGCGACCCTCGTCTTCACGCCGCCCACAGGCGTCATGCGCACATGCTTGAACTTCTCGAGGGTGGCCAGCAGGCCGTCGCGCGGGTTGCGGCTCTCCTCCTTCAGCAACTGGATACGATCCTGCAGCTCCTCGTCTACACCCCCGACCTGCTCCCATGAACCCGCGCTGTCGAGAGACTTCGCCGGGGACCCAGTGCCAGCAGTCGCCCGTGTAGAATCCGTCTGCACCGTCTCCACATGCTCGTTCAACTTCGAGATGAAGTCGTCGATCTGGGATGTGGTCGGCTGCCCCTCGCCCTCGCTCACGGACTGCCCCTCAGGGCTGGAGGGTCCTGGGTCCGACGTGCGATCTGATCCGCTGGAACGCGGAGGCGAAACCCTGGCCCCGAGAGACTGGGTCGCCACCGCCCCCGTCAGGTTTGCCATCGCCCTCTGCAGTGCCTGCTGCTGGTTGGACAACTCCGCGAACAGGCGTCGCGGGGACGGCTCATCGTCGGAGTCGGCGACCTGCGTCCCCAAGACCCTGTCCTCCTCGTCGTCACTGACCGCGGAGCCCTTGTCGGAGTCGGAGTCGCTCGCGTCACCGTAGGACCATGCCCAGAGTAGGTACCCCGTCACCAGGGTCCCGCCGATGGCCACGAGGACATACTCGAGGTCCCCGCTCTCGTAGTACTCGTAGATGGTGTCGTAAACGTGCTGCACGTCCTCGACGGTCTCGTAGACGGCTCGGGCCCCATCATACGCCGCTCGGAAGATTGAGCCCAGGCGGAAGAAACGCCACGCACGCCAGCACAAGAAAGAGATCGCACTCCACGACCCCCAGCTCCGCTTGGCCCACAGCGCCGTGAAGATGTTCCCCACTCCGCCCGTCAGCCAC